TTAAGGATAAACATCTATGTACACCTGCTAGACCTGCTGCTCTCGCGGTGTATGTACACGCACTGGGCCCTCGCTCAAACCCTCGCCGTCTCTGTCTCTTATGCACCCACAATGTAGTAGTAGGAGATGCTGCAGCAGCAACACAACAGCAGCAGCAACAGCAGCAGCAGCAGCAGCAGCAGCAGCAGAAGCAATAGCAGAAATAGAAATAAGAGCAACAGCAGCAGCTGCAGCAGCAGCAAAAGCCCTTATACACATTTATAGAATATTCTAAACCCTCGTAAACCCTCGTAAACCCTCGTAAACCCTAATAAACTTTGTAAGCCCTCCTAAACCCTCGTAAACCCTAGCAACCCTTATACACCCTCGTAAACCCTCGTAAGCCCCCGTAGGCCTTCCTAAACCCTAAACCCTAAACAAACCCTCGTAAACCCTAGTAACCCTCATAAACCCTCATAAACCCTCACACACCCTAATAAACCCCAATACACTCTAATAAACCCTAATAAACCCCAGTAAACCCGAATAAACCCCAATACACTCTAATAAACCCTCGTAAACCCTCGTAAACCCTCGTAAACCCTCGTAAACCCTCGTAAACCCTGACAAACCCTCATGCATACCCGTTTGTTTAGTGAGGTCATCGCAGAGGAGTTTGAGTGTATCTGCAGCCGGGATGACTCTCTGCTCTAGGCCCCGGGGATGGAGACGGATGCATGCAGCCCAGTTTTGTTTTTTTATTTTTTCTCTTCTTTTTTTTGTTTCTTCTGTCTCCTCAGAAGATAAAGANCAGCCCAGTTTTGTTTTTTTATTTTTTCTCTTCTTTTTTTTGTTTCTTCTGTCTCCTCAGAAGATAAAGAGAAATTCATATAAGGCAATAAATAACCCCCACGCAAATCCTCTTTCCATCTGTTTTTTTTTTTTCATACACACACACACTAAACCCTAAACCCTAAACCCTAAACCCTAAACCCTAAACCCTAAACCCTAAACCCTAATCGTAAACCCTAGTCGTAAACCCTAATCGTAAACCCTAATCATAAACATGAGTAAACCCTAATTATATGCCCTAATCTTAAACCCTAATAAACCCTAACCGTAAACCCTAAACCCTAATAATAAACAGCAACAAACCCTAGTGCATCCTAATCATAAACAACAATCAACCCTAAACCCTAAACCCTAAACCCTAAACCCTAAAAAACAGTAATAAACCCTACTAATAAAGAATACAAAACCCTAATAAGCAGCACCACACCCCAATAAACACAGACCCTAAACCCTAAACCCTAAACCCTAAACCCTAAACCCTGCAACATCTGCTTACTTTTCTGCTGGGTTTGTGGTTCTTGAGCTACAAGGTACAGCATGAGGAGATGTGGCTGTTTTGCTGCTGCTGCAGCTGCTGTAGCAAGTGCTGCTGCTGCTGCTGCTGCGATGGATTCGCTGTCGTGTTGCTGCTGCAGCCACTCACGAATGTCTGCCTGAAATACAGCGTCAAAGGGGGCGTCCAGCATCGAGAAA